AACATGCGGTAATTTATAAATGTTTTAAATCAGGTTGGGTCTGGATTAACCAGCAGGTATAGGTCCAATGGGGTTGGTTTCCTGCAGGACTCAGATTGCTTCGCCTAAATCCATGTGACCCAATCATGAACTCATGAGAAGGATTGAAAAGACAGCGATTTAGATCACTGTGCTATTATAATAACCAACTCTCAGTTTTCTCATAAAATCCACCGCCTTGTAATTTAAAACACGCGCTGGCATTTCTAAGAGCTCACAATGTAATCCACCGTCATAAAGTCCTGAGGGCCTCTGGAAGAGAAATGGTCCCACAGCATCACAGACCCTCTACTGCGAAGGTTCCAAACACTTTAGCCAAAAATAACCCAAATATAACAGACACATATCCATAAAAACAAAAAGTTATTTCCCTCACAATTTATTTTCAAATACATAGAAAAATAATAAGATTCCTTCTTTTTAATAAACATATTCTTATGAGTGTTTGTGATGGTAGGACAGGAAAGAGACTCTTAACTGGATAGGGTTGCTCTTTGCCAACCATGGATCTGACCGCACCATTAGGTTAAACCTGGATCTGGGCGTCTAGCCTTAAGGCCGGGTCACACCGGTTGGGTAAGATTTTTTAATCCCCGACTGAGAGACTCCGACTACTCAGGGTGAGCAGCTTTTTTTCACTGAGCCCCACGAATGGAAAAGCATTTGATTGGGAAAGATTATAAAAGCAACAAAGTTGTTTCTGCGAGCCTCAAAGAGAATCATTACTTTATCAATTTTCTGTCCTTCTGAACCATCATAGGTAATGTAATCTGATTGTTTAATATTTTTATTGATTTTTTATGCAGGAGTCTGCCCGGCCTGCTTTATATGTGCTGCGCGACTCCAAACATGACTGATTTCTCTTGCCTTGGACGGATTTTATCTTGTGTTTTCCCACAAAGCAGATGTGTTATTTTGCAACCGTTTTTTTCTTCCTGCCAGTCTCATAAAATTACGGCTATATTGTTGCGTAGTCCAAATAAATAAAGACCTGGGGTCTATCTCAGTCGGAGCTACACAAACCCTTGCAGAAAATGGTTTCAGGCGTGATCAACCCCATTGACTTTAAATGAGCACTAAACACCACAATAGCCCCCAACATGATTTTCTGCAGGATCGGACGCAAAATTGAATTAATTTTGTTCAGGGCTTTAGTTTTCATAATTTCAAAATGTATTATACCTCCGACAGCAGAAATAAACAGGTTCATGCATGTAGCATAATGTTATGACAAATAAGCCCAACTTGAATGCCATGCTTTTCTGTGTTTCATACAAATTGTCGTGCAAGAAGATGCGCCACCAGTTAATTCTGATAACTGCGGGAATCATTTTCAGACACTGAATAAAATCAAATTTTATTCAGATTTTTTCTTCTTCTGAATTTACAGAATATGAGATTAAACTGCAACAATGGAGAAATAAGCATGCACGCATCAATTCAACACCTTCCAGAGCTAAGGTAGGCCTCATAGATCTACCTGCACGGTGGCGGCTTCGTCTGGAGATCAGAGCAACGGTGAAGCGAGGATGAATGTCATCGACGCAGATGATCTCCTTTGGCGGACTCTCCGGGCTGCTCCGCTCCTCGTCTGATGTCTCGTTGTAGTTCACCACCAGCTCCTCCACCTGGACAAAGCCTTGGATAATCGGAATAACCCAGAGGTCAACCTCTGGGACCTGGATGGTTTTGGGAGGCACACAGGACAGCGTTGGTCTTATTTTCAGATGAATACGCAAAGAAGCTTTATGGAGCTTAACTTTAAAAGACTAATAAATACTACCTGAAGATCAATCAGATCTTGGATCATGTGTTTGTTCCAGAAGAAACGGTCATCCACCTTATCCAAGAAAAACGACCATCAGTCACAGTGAGGGAAGAATTAGACGAATCATGACGTAATTTTTCTCTCCCACCTGTTTCCACAGAGGTAAGGCAGACTTATCAGAGTCTCCCTGCCTCTGCACACTGTTTGTCAGGTCGTATGTCATGCTGTAGTAGAAGGAGTCGGAGTCCATGAATATCTTGTAGAGTTCGTCTAACAGCCGCCTCTCCAGGCGCTCCTTCTCTTTGTTTTCTTTAACCTGGAAAGCAGGGGAATACTGGATTGGATGGGCGGAGAAAGAAAAGAGCAGAAAGTGTGAGAAGCAAAGGAGTTGGAAAACAAGGAGCAGCAGATGGGGCTTTAAAAGTCAGAGCATAAGGAAGGCGGCAGATCAGTCTAAAGAGAAATACCTTTTTCTTGATGGGGACGGACACGTTGGATTTGATCTGGCTTAGAGTTTTCATCAGGAACTTTGATTCATCAGGTGACTGGGCCAGCTTCTCTGGCTTGTCGATTCCAAAGTGATGCTTCTTGCAAAGCTGTAAGCGATTCATTAAACACTAAAAAATCAGCTCAGAGAATTTGGCAAAAATTTCCAGCAAACAGGAGCTAAAGGGGAATGAATTACCATTACTAACATAACCTCAAACATTTGTACATTTTGTCACGCTACAGCTACAAACTTCAAGGCACATGATTGGATTTAACATTAGAGCAAGACAGAGTGGAGAAAATTCTGAGGCAAAAGGAAAACACAAGGCCGAAAGCAAAAAATAAACTATGACACATAAAAAGTTGCTGTGTGCCTTTCTATCCCGTTCTCCTAATTTAAGAAAGCAAATATAATTTGAGTCAATAAACCTGGCAAACAGGATAACAGCTGCCAGTGCATCCGGGTCCATTTCCACATCTACGGGAATTTCTGCTCATTCTTCTTTGCTAAAAAGCTCAAAGTCAGCCGGGAAAAACACTACACTGAATCAAACAGGATTCTGCTTTGTAAATCCAAGCTCTGGCTCCATGTTTAGGGTCACTGTCCAGCTGGGAGGCTTAACTCCATCCCAGTCTAAAGTCTACAGGTCTTTAGGTTAGCTTGTTTTTTATTAGCTTTTCAGCCTTTTGACCGACATGTGAGCTTCCTCTTCTTGGGGTTATGGCTAGCGCATTCAGGGCGATGACTTGACACACAAAAGTTGTCAAGATTAAGCTTGAATTAGGCCGATAGCCGGAATTTTAATGTGTGTAACTGCTAAGGGTGTAAATCACATCCATCATGGCGATTCGATTCAGTATCGATTTCCTGACCCAGCGATTCGATCATTTTCGATACTCAAGAATACACCACGATACGATTCGATTCGATTAATTGGTTCTTTTTTTTATAATTTTTTTTATTTTTGTACACCTTAAAGGTTAGACAATGTTTCAAATTTGAAATAAATCAGTGAAAGCTGTAATATTGTTATGCTATTTTTTTGAGAAACAACAGCAAATAACAGCAGTAGAAAAGTTGCACTCCACCTATTCCTATTAAAACCTCATTCACTGAATAATAATAATACCCCTGCGTTATAGATTCTCAAAGGCCTTGCATCAAAAAATACTGCACAAAATCAGTGCAATGAGTGCAATTCAACACATCGGCTCCAGACGTCCCCGCCCCTCCATAGACGCTCCGCTGCTCCTCTCCCAAACTGTAGCTGACCGCAAACAGCGCCGCAGACAGGAGGCCGGCTTGTTTTGTTTTTATGACCGAAATTGTGGAAAACAACTCGTGAAGTTTGACCCGCTAGAAGAGCGAGGTGCGCAAGAACGCTGGGACCCTTTTTCCACCTGGATCTCCGCTCTTTTTGGCCCTCATGTCCCTCCGTCGTCGGACTAAACTCGCCCCCACTTCCTCGCCGCCTCGGCCGTATCTACACCCACAGTGTGTAGCACAGACCACGCTTCAATATTGAGCATAAATCAAAAATGTCTGTGTCAAGCTCACTGCAACACACTGCTGTAAGACTATAACCAGGAAGCGAGGTAGGAGGGCACAATAGGTTTAGCGCCACCGCAGCAGAGGAGGGAGAAATATGTCCGGGAGCAAAATGGATAAGAATAGACCGGAGGAAAAAAAACATGAATCGATTCTCTCACGGACGTATCGATGCATCGGATCGTCGGCTGTTGGATCGATGCATCGATACAAAACGATTATTATTTACACCCCTAGTAACTGCACCAAGTTATGTTTTAAAACACATTTACCTCCTTATTTATCAGCGCTACGGAAACATGGACCACCGGCCCACCCTGCACCCCTCAGACTCATTATCTCAGACTAAGACCTCGAGAACAAGTAAGTGGTAGAGGGTCCAGGTTCCTAAACAGCTGGTATGTCAGGCTGAACCACCTCACGGTCAGAGTGGGGTTTTTTTTCTTCCTCTACTGAATAAAACGCAGCATCATTCCTGTAGTGATGCGTCTGCTCAACCTCTTTCCATGTCTGCGGCTGGCTCAGAGCAACATCTCACTGGGTCGATCTGATAGTTTGCATTTTAAGAAGAGATATGAAAACAACTTCCAAATATGGAGAACATTTTACAAAAGAGGAGATTAGAAACACACCCTGGTGAGAACCCTGCTATTTTTCACCTTAAAGGGTTAGAATCCACAGAACAGCTGGATTTCTCCTAACGTTTATTAAATGCCACGTTAGCTTCTGGTGGTTGATCACATAAAAAATTGAAGTTTGTAGTTTTAACGTGAGAAAAATGTGAAAAAACGTAATAAGGCAGGGATACATTTGGAAGTTACTGTTCTACTTTGATCTAATATCTACATTAATTGGCAGGATTTCTACGTGCAGAGGAAGACAGACTGTTTCTGCAGCTCAAGGACAAAGTACAGGACAAGGGCTAAAGTCTATTTCTCTAATTAGGCTCCTCCTATGTTATTACTCACTTGAAAATATTCAGTCTCATCATCCAAGACGCCCCCCTGAAAAACTGAAATCTTAGCAACATTCAGCCTGTTTGCTGTTATCTTTAATGTCATTCAGGAGTGGATTTTATTTGGATCAACTTATTTTCTACCACTTTCAGCAGCACTTTCAGCTTACCTCCAGCTCAAGCTCCTGAGGCTCCTCGTCAGACAAAGGGATAACGGCTATTTTGGTGATCTTGTAAACTTTGTGGTTGCCCGGCAAATGGCCCACGAGTGCTTTCTGGCGGATTAAAACCAGGCCGAGCGGAAGGTCTGCCCAAAGAAGAAAATAACAGACAAGGGGAAACGATGTCAGAGGTAGAGAACTGCTAATGCTGAGAGGTGTGAAGAAACCGGTCCATATCTGATAAAAATATATCTATGTCATGCTTTTTTTATCTACCTGCAGCATATAACACATATAAAATAAACATCATCAAAAAAAAGAAAGTAATAAAAAAAAAAAACTAAATGAGTTTAAAACTAAAGATGAACTAAAAAAATAATTTCAAGCATTCAGTATTTTACCTGAACCAAAACTACACAAATCAATCTTTCTGTTGTATCAAATTCAACAGATAGACGGTTAGCAGAGGCACACAAAGCGGATGAGTTTGTGTGTGAATAAAATGCAGGGAGGGTCTGTTTAAGTGCAACAGTTTCAAAGAAGAGAACAATGCATTAGATATTATATTTACAGGCCGCTTTTTTTAATCCAGGAAGGATCAGTAGAGGCTGGGCTGATGTGTGACTCATGTTCTATGGGAAAACAAGGGAATCGCTATTCTGTCGCTAACTGCAGCTGGATGCATAGTCCGAACGCCTGCACTTGAAAAACGATCTAGAAATAAGTAAAAATTTCTTAATTTAAGTTTATTCACCCTTGATTTGAGTAGGTAAATGAGAGAGTTTGCCATGGAATGAGTATTTTTACTCTTAAAATTAGGGACACACGAT